CAGACAGACAGACAGACAGACAGACAGACAGACAGACAGACAGACAGACAGACAGACAGACAGACAGACAGACAGACAGACGAGTGATTTTAGATCAATCCCTACAGTCAATTCATTCTTTTGTTTCAGACTCCTAACCGCCTCCTTCAATAACAATTCCTGATACTGATGCTAGCGTCTAATCAACGAGATGAGAGTGCTGTTTCGGCACTACCCCAGTTTCAACAGTTATCGAGCTCAGAAAATGCTCAGAAATGCACCTTTCCAAAATACTTTGATGCCCTAGCCTCAATTTCTCATGATTACCACAGCCTACTGCAATGGCATCGACATTCTTGAGCACATCACACGACAGTTCGAACATTGATAGGCACTAGAGGTGTAGGTATAGGGAGGAACATATCCTGAGAGTGATAGTGAGGAGGAAACTTTAGATGAGGATGAACTTGCTCCTCACCCCATTGCCAAAAATAAAGTTTCTCCAATGAAGAAAGATACAGAAGTAAATAATGACGGACATGCGCTTTTTATTTTGCCTTTGAGAATCCGCCATCAAATAAAGTGCCAGCAAAATTTACAAGGAAGTGCAAAAGCTATGGAGGCAGAAACAATATTAACAAAACCAGCGCAACACTGAGGTTTAGTCAACAGCAGGATGCTGCGTGACGGAGATGCCAAATCTCATCTGATGCTCAAAGTTTTGTTTTTGTTTGTTTTTGTAAAGTGTTTTACGGCGCTCGCAACTGCATAAGGTCATATGAGCGCGCGGGACACACCAAATATTTTCAGTTGGTAGGAAATTTTGAATTTTGCCCGGGTGGCGGCCGAAGCCGCTCTTGTCGATTTTAGACCACCAAGGGATCTTTAACGTGCGCAACTTGCACACGGGCCCTCCGAGATTTTTCTCCCTTGTCCGAGAAGGCTAGGTGTAGATCTTTTCAAATTTTTATGGCATTTATGACTTTGAAATTGTAAAAGATGACTATATAAATCGCATTAGCAAAAGTATGTTCTTGTTCTTGTAAGAGTTTTACGGCACTTGCAACACAATAAGGTCATATAAGTGCCGAAGATTAGAGATGTTACAAGAGAGTAACAAATATTAAAAAGAAGGAGGGGAGTTAAGGATGATAGATTTTTTTTATAGGAAAGAAGGAGCAAACCACACCAGAGCACCCGCCAACCACCCACAAAAGTATGTTCAACGCCCTTCGGAGCTTCCAAAACACCAACAACGAATGCCTGAACAGAAAACCCACGAAGATTGAAAAACAAAGCAGTAACAAATAACTCACAAAACCCGGACGTAACAATTACTTGTGTTCAATAGTTTTAATTGTGGTTTCTTATCGAGCACAAAAACTCTTTTGCACATGGACCGTGTAAGATTTTGAACAGTTATCTGTCAGGGAGGAACAGAGGCCACCGAACTGTCACGATTTCGGGTGGTCTAGGGTGGATTGAACAGAGCCACCCTCGTGAGAATCACCGGATGCCTTGGTTTAGTGGACTAGCCTACATCGCGCAAGTGCTGGAACGTCATGTCTTGCCCTTATTTGCGTCATGATGTCATTCAAGTAGTCATCCCCATGCTAAACAAGGCATTTTCTCATAGGGCCAATGCCATTAGAGCATTCTTAAAAAACCAAATCAACATTCGAGTGGTTGCCAGTAAACAGCCCCGATGTGAATCCTACAGGTATGTTTAGTCCCATGAAACAGTGGCTGGAGAAAAACGACTTTTCCCCCAGTTCAGACCCTTTGTTTGCAACTCTCTGTGACATTTGAAATGAAATGACAGATAAATATGTCAAAAATTTAATAGAATCGATGCCCAAAGGTTTGTGCTATCATTGGCACAACTCAAAGCCAATGGTTCCTACGCAAATTAACAATAAACACAATTAGTGTTGAGCCCAAATTTTGTGTGGTATTTGTGATCGCTTTGTTTTCCGTTATGTTCGAAACTATCGTGGACAAAATATCATAATAAAATATTGTTTATTGCAAAGACAAAATTCTCCATTCACTGGGCATGCAATGCATCGCCTTTCGATCAGTATTGATACTCTTCAGTAAATGCGCAAAGACAATTTGAGGGCACGATTTATCGTTTTCGGAAGTAACCCTATAGCTTTTAAAGCAAGAGCGGCTTTTACAAACGAGTGAAAAGTGGAACATTTACTGTCTAGTTTGTAATTTTGAGTTACAGAATTCACTGTGCAACCTAGAGATTGGAATTAAGGTTCTAAATTGTTGTGTTATTTGGGTGCAAAAACAGAAAAAGCAGAC